ATGAAGGAAACAAAGCTCGTGCTGTAAATTGCGAAAAAGACTACAAGCAGGAATCGTGACCATAAATTCAGGTGCACAGAAAATATCACTTTATTTTAAGAATAAATTAATTTCTATTTCAGGTTGCCATCCTCACTGAGCTAACAGGGAGTGGTAGGAGTTCCTGCTACTCTGCTCATAAAGTGGTGCCACGGTGTTTGGGTGGTGGGCATGAGAAAGAGGTCTGATTCTTTATCACTGGTCCACCAGGTCCCCCTGCTGAGAAATGTTCACATCCCTCTTTAGTTCTAGCTTATCTGCTACTTTTGTATCAAACTGGGGATATACGAAGTCTCTGTAAGACCACTAACAGAAATGACTGCCAAGAGATACCAAATGGCGTTCTCTCCCTGAGATCTTGCTGCCTTCCAGGCGACATCTCCAGAAAGCAGGGCAGAGGTGTTCTCTGCTTCAGAAGTCTTCTGTTCTTCTCATAGCTTCTCCCCAGGCTAGGGGCTCTGTCATCTCAGATAACTTCTCTTTATTCATTTTCGCTGTCAAAGGACTTTTCTATACTGGAATCCTCCTTCTTTTCTCTTCTTCCTAAATCAGGGCTCAAGCATTTAGACACAGGCTAATAAGACTTTATATTCTCTCTGCTTGACTTGGTGAAGCAGTTTCAGGTGCGTGGTGATGACAGAAGGTAGATTCTAAAGGGATGGGTGAGGTGTTGGGGGGAAAAGCTAAGGGTGAAAGAGACTTGGGTAAGTTCTTAGGCTGGGAAAACGGAGGGGCCTGCAAAGATGGAGAAGCTGGAGCTGGGAGAGTGAGGAGATGGCTGAAGGGGCAGAGTCCAGGAGGAGGTGGAAGGAAATACAAGGCTGATCATGGTGATGTTGCAAGTGAAGAGTCAAAAACAGGGCTTGGAAGAAGGTGATCAATAGATACAAGCTTCAGTTTAAGATATGTGAGTACCAGGGTGCTTGTACAGCATGGTGACTCTCGTTAACACTGCTTTGTGATATATAGGAAAGTTGTTAAGAGAATAGGTTCTAAGAGTTCTCAGCACAAGCAGAATTTTTTTTCCTTTCTTTTTATTGTATCTGTATGAGATGACGAATGTTAACTAAACCTACTGTGATCATTTCATGATATTTGTAAATCAAAGCATCATGCTGTATACTTTAAACTTATACAGTGATGCATGCCAGTTATTTCTCAATAAAACTAAAAAAGAAATTTAAAACACCGGAGTTGGCAGTGTATCCAGGCAATGTAATAAACAGAAAAGAATGTGACTTTGGAGGAGTCCAATCTGGGTTGTTATCCCAGTCCCATAATTTACTGATTATAAGATATTAAGAAAGTAATTAAACTTCTTTGGGCTTCATCTTTCTTCTCTAAAAAAAGTGGTAGTGGTGGCAGAAGCATTTGTGTAGTGTTTTATAATTTTTATAAAGCCTTTTCCCAAAGATTGCTTGAGTTATTAAAAATATTACCCAGAAAATATAGAATTGAATGCTCTCAATTCATTTCAGTTAAAAGCAGTCATAATAGGCAAACAGTTTCTGCAGGTGAATAACGCAGTAAGAAACAACTCCTGCTTTAGGGATATTACATTGTGCTAGAGGTTTAGACCACACACCATTGATTGCTCCTTTTCTAGATCTTTTGGTTACATTATATAAAATGTATATGAATGTTTCTTTAATGTTTGTTATAATTAGTAAATTGTGGGACTGGGATTAGAACCCAGATCAGTGTCCTTCAAAGTCACATTCTTTCCCATCCTTTATACTCCTGTATACACTGCCAAGTCCTGTTGTAACCGAGCAGGACCCTTTGGGGCTTTCCCGGGACACACCACCCCAGACCCAATGTCCTCTGCCTACCTCTTCTTTGGTCTCCTAGACCTTCCCTGAGTTCCAAAGAGCAGAATCAAACAGTTATGGGCTAGGGATGTAAGGGAATGCAGAAACAAAGGAAAAGCAAGCCCAACATAATCTTTTCCATGATTATTAGCTTAAACTAATGCCTCGATTTATGACCCCAAACTGTCCTGCAGCTTCAACCAGCTGGCCTTAAAACTGACGACACTGGGAGGGTCAGTTAGGAACTGAAGCTCCCGAACCATCATGAAAGCTCTAAGTAACTAATAAAATGCCTCAGCCATTGCTTTTGCCCCCTCCTAGAAAGAAGTTAAGGGATCCCAAAAGCATGATTTACTAGTTTGCTTTGCAGAAACACATAGATGAGTCACCATAATCGAAAGGCACATCAAATCACAAGGTGTCTTGCAACTGCGGTCTTATCGGGAAGTTGAAAATCACAAATATCTCCTCCTCTTTACCTTCTTTGCCTTTAAAAGCCTTGTGCCCCAGCCAGAAAGCAAGATGGATTGAGACAAGTCTAGGTCTCCCATCTTCCAGGTTGGCTCCTCCTCAACCAATAAACCTTTCTTGGATCCAAACTCTGACATTTTGGTGGTGGTGGGGGGGTGTGCTCACAGTACTTTGGGCACATGAACTTGGGTTTGACAACACAGTTTTTGAGTCTTCACTTAACACCACCACCATGATCAGCCTTGTATTCCTTTCCACCTCCTCCTGGACTGTGCACTCTCAGCCATCTCCTCACTCTCCCAGCCCCAGCTTCTCCATCTTTGCAGGCCGCTCCTTCTTCCCAGCCTATGAACTTACACGAGTTTCTTTTATGCTTAGTTTTTTTTCCTACCCCCACCCCCATACACACACACACACTGGAATCTACCTTCTGCCATCACCATGCACCTGAAACAGCTTCAGTAAGTCAAGGATTCTTAACCATCCCACTCTAAATGTAGATTTAATTTATAAGAACTAATTACCAGGCTTGTACATATATTACCTCATTCACTGCTCAAAAAATCCATTGAGATACTATGATTTTCTACATTTTACAGAGGAGTATACTGAGGCTCAGAAAGGTTCTATGACCCTGAATTGTTTAGAATCACAAAGCAGTTAAGCAGCAGAGCTAGATGGGAATCGAGGTTGGACTTACTGCCAAGTTCATGTTCCTGCCACTCTACTGCAAGGCCCCCATTCAGCCCACACTGGTCCTGCTTTTCCAGGGGCTCATGGAGACTGAACTGCCAAGCTAAAGACCCTATCAACAGCAACAGAGTAGTCAAATGTCTTTGGGGGGGTGGGGGGGGTGGGTAAAACTTGAGGAAAAACATCTACCAGGGGCTACTCTTAGACCGCCTCTCCCCAGATGGTCGATTCTTATCAAACAGGTGGCTGAGGCTTGGTAATGAAAGACACCCATATCCACAAACCAGAAACAAGGACTGGGGGTGCAGGGCTTCACCCAGCCCATCTCATCTAATGCTTCTCCCCTGTCTCCTCCACCCTGGGGAGCATTTTCCTTTCTAGAACTAATGCAATTAAGTGGAGAGAGACTGGCTTAGCCAAGACCAGAGAGGATGTCTATAATTTATTTTCAGTTGTACCACTATCCTGGTGTGGGACCCCCAGCACTCACTATGTCCCTATGCGTGGGGACAATCATGCAATATGATTGCCGACAGCTTGCTTCTCTGCAGCTAGCTGTCCTGCAAAGAAATTTTATTGAAAGGTGTTTGCACACTGTACTTACTGTTGCATTGTTGTCACATGCAGTGACCTTCATAAATGGCTTTGGGAAAGTCACAAGGGAATAACAGAGGTGGTTGGTGGTTTTTTCTCCTCCTTAATTAGAGTCTGCTCTGATTTGCTAGATAAGGTTGTGCAATCACTGGGAAATGTGCTCTCTGCTCTCACATGCTCCCCAAATACAAACAAGCAGGTCAACAACCCGAGTGTTGTAACGTTTCAGCCTGAAATCTGCTTAGATACCCCAGCAGGGCCATTTGTCCTTTTGGAATTGGGCAAATAGTTCAAGGCAGCAGCAATCAGAACGAGGGCTTCGCAGAGCTACGGCAGAGAGAGGAGAGCCAGGAGGAGACAGAGGCTGAAGACAGTTAAAATCAGCATCTAAATCGGCTCCCAATTCTTGATGAAACTCCCAGAGGGAGACTGTTAAATCATGAAATTAATCGCCATCCTTTTCCTTTGCTCCAGGCTGCTACCAAGTTTGACCCAGGAGCCCTTCTCAGAAGAAATTGACTGCAACGACCAGGATGTATTTAAGGCTGTGGACAGTGCTCTCAGGAAATATAACAGTGAAAACAAAAGTGGCAACCAGTTTGTATTGTATCGTGTAACTGAGGTCAGGAAAACGGTGAGTGAACTGTGTTTAACTTTGAAGTCATTTGGGATTTGTGCTGTCACTTAGAGTCCAGGCCTCACTCACACACACACACACACACACACCAATCACCAAAGAACTGATAATCAAAGGGAAGCTTACAGCTCTTAGAAAGGACCAGCACCCCTCTCTGGCCTTGCAGGTGGAGACAGGGGTATAGCTAATCCTTGGGTCACCAAGATTGTCTTCCTGGGTGATCAGAGAAGCAGTGTCCTAGGGTGACATGAAACAAAGGTAGATGGAGTAGTCTGAAAAGGACTACACAGAGTAGGAGAATCCAGGGACTCAGGCTGCAGCAAGGGAATTTACTGGGTGACCAAATCTAGACTGAAATATGAAGACCCCCAGACCTCAGGTGGGGAGGGAGCGCCCAAGGGGATAGATCTAACAGATACTCTGATTTCACTTACATGTGGAATCTAAAAATTCAAACTCACAGACATGGAAAGTAGAATGGTAATTGCCAGAGACTGGGAGGCAGGGAAAATAGGGAGCTGCTGGTTTAAGTGTATAAACTGTCAGTTATGAGATGAATAGGTCCTGAAGCTGTAAACTACAGCGTAGTGATTTATAGTTAATAATACTGTATTGTATACTCAGAATTTGTTGAAAAACTAGATCTTAATTATTCTCACCACAAAAATAAAGGTGGTGAGAATTAGCTTGTTTGTGTTAATTAGCTTATTTACAGTAATCATTACACAATGTATATGTGTGTCACTTCATCACTTTGTACACCTTAAATATATATAGTTTTCATTTGTCAATTATTCCTCAATTAAGCTACGGAAAAGGGAGGTAGGTCTAAGAGGACTCAGAAGTGAGATTAAGTTGGCTCTACTGCATAAGACGAAATAACTACCATGAAGTCTGTATGGCTGAATGCATCAAGGCGACAGCCATTTCCACTTGGGATTTAGTATTTTTTATCACTGACTGATGCACTCAAGATGGAAACAAATCCTGATAGGGTGTGTGACTTCAAGAAATACAAGTCTTTCAATAGTTGTTTAAATGAATTTCATTGTAAAATTTTATGTTTCTGTGATAGTTAAGCAATTGTTTACTTTGGTGGAAAAAGGTTCCAGCCATTTGACATTATGAGGAAAAAGGAAAAAGCCCAGGGGATATGTTGGTTTTTCCTTTTTCCTTCTGAAAGTAAAGTCCAGCCTTTCTGTTTCACAAGCTTGTGTGGTCGTGTGAGTCCTGGTGTTCTCAAGCAATGGCTTACTGGTGTTGTCCTTATTGGCTGACATCCACAGCAAATGGTGTTTTTTATTCTAATGTGTCCATAGAATCACTCCTTATCTTTCCTTTGCTGTGTGGGCTCCGCCTATGCGATGGCCACTTAGGTTTTATTGAACTCTGAGACCTGGAAGGAATCTTAGAGACTATCTTGTGTGAGCCATCACCTCCTAGACGCAAATCCTGTAGTGAGAACACAGCCCCTCCAGCCAGGAGGCCTGTGACCCAGGCTGACTCCACCTCTACACGGTGGGGGTGCTGCCTGAGCCAGGCCTCACTGCCTGGGGCCCCCTTTCTCTCACCTACAAAGTGAGAAGCTGGACATCATCACTTCCCAGGTCCTTGGCTGCTCCGACATGCCAGGATGCTGCATCTGAAAGATTATCTAACTCAGCCCCTTTGCACCTTTAAAGTTTTATTTATTATTTCATGACTTGCTGGAATAAATAGCAAATTAAAATACTAATATGACCCAAAATTAATCCTATCATCCAGAGATAACTATTACTTTTTTATGAAAAAAGGTTTCTGGTTTATTTTCTAATTGAAAAAGTAACATCTGTTTGTTTTTTAAAAAAGTAGACAATTCAGGAATGTTTGTTTCAAGTAGAAAGTGAAAGACAGTTTTACTCCTACTGCTGAGAGACACACATTTCAACAACTTAGCTGCATAATTTTCCAGACTTTGAAAAATCATGTGTTTACCTATAAATTGGTTTCTACAAAAATGGGCTAGTACTACAAATACTACTTTGTAACTTAAATATATATATACTTGTAAATAGTAAACTATGGACATTCTTCCAAGTAAATATTTATAGACTTTCAATATTTTTAATAAATGCTTTTGCCTTCGTTGAATCAAATCAGGATCAAATATCTGTAACTGCCCCAGGTCCTACTCAAATAATTTGCTCTTGGGTCAGACGATCCCTTTTGATTGCTGTTTTTCAGGATAATCCTGACACGTTTTATTCCTTCAAGTACCAAATCAAGGAGGGCGACTGTCCTGTTCAAAGTGGCAAAACGTGGCAGGAATGTGACTACAGAGACTCTGCACAAGCTGTGAGTGTGTGCGAGGTTCCCAGGCTTCGTTTTCTCCCCAGAGCATGCCAGGCTTTCCCGCCAGTGGTGGGGGTGACTGATACGTGGAGCTGTTTGTGAGGGACGCGTGTGAACCCTCAACTGTGTGGAACAGTCAGACACCTGACGTCTGCATCCTCACACAGACAGAAGGGGCATGGAGAGGCCAGCAGTCAAACATGGAGAAAGCCCTCCCATAAGAAAGGGACTCCAATGACCAACTGGGACATGCGGGCCAGGCGCCAGAGAGACAATAGGTCGATATCTGGGCTGAGAGCTGGGCTGAGCTGGTGCAGGGGAGTGTGGATGCTTCAACAGCGTGGGCCTGAGTGCCAACCCTGCTCTACCTCCAACCAGCTGACCACTCAGAACCTGTGTGCTCACTCGTAAAGAGAGAGAAAGTTGACTTCATCAGGTAGTTGGAGGAAGAAATGAGATCCATTAAGCAAAGGGCCTTGCTTTAATAACACTGGCTGTCCTAGCCAAATGTCTAACCTGTGTGACACAGCACAGCTGATTATTTGGACTTAATTAAGGGAGGCTGTGATGGTATCTGCCAGGAAGCAAGCCACCCTCTTCACAGTCCAGGGAGTCAGAACACTGGCACCTTGGATGCAGTTTTGTTACCAAAGGCAAATTTGTGTGCCAGATGCACCATGAGGCCAAACAAACTGAAACATGAATTTGGGGCAGAGAAAAGTTTATCGCAGGACCGAGGAAGAAAAATGGGATGGCTCAAGCCCAAGAAAACCCCGAACTCCCTGAAGGGTTTCAACAAAGCTGATTTAAAGGCCAGGTGAGGGAGGGGGTTGCAGGGTACTGATCCGCTCATGCACAATTCTCTGGTTGATGCTGAGGGAATAGGGTGATCAACACTATCAGCCCCCAGGCGCCAGAAGCTCTGGAGGCCAAGTGCTCTGGATCATCAAGTAGTTAATTTCTTCCCTTTGGTGGCCTTTAGCATGGGAAAAACTCAGGAAATATACTTGAGATAAGATTACCTGGGTCCTTCAGAGAGGAGTTACAGCGGAGGATATGGGGGAGGGGTCTGACCCTGGAAGACCCCCCAAGTCCTGCTCTGGTCACAGTTCGAACATTGACATTGAAAGGTAAATCAAGAGGAGAGTTTAACAGGCTGGTGCACATCCTGGAGAAAAATATCTCCAGGGCTCAAAACAAAGACTCATATTTTAAAACCTCACTGTTTATCCTACCTCTCCTCCAAAATCTCACGAATATCAGCGGTTTGTACAAAATTATGGTAGGCTGCAAAACATTCATTCTCATGTCTTGAAACTGTTAGAAAAAAAATCTTGACAAGTTTTAAAGAAGCAAAGCCAGAGTTAGCAACAGTACTAGGTGGATTTCATCTGAAAAATTAAGATAAATAGTCCCTCTCTTTTTTTTCCTTCTTAGGCCACAGGAGAATGCACAGTGACAGTGGCAAAGAGAAAGAATATGAAGTTCTCCGTGGCTACCCAGACCTGCCAGATTACTCCAGGTAGCTGATGTGTCTGGTGGCACTGCTCTGGATGGAAAATGACACTTTACTGTGTGTGGCGCCAAAGACGCCGCCCTCCGGGAGGGTAGCAGTTGTGATGCCATTTACAGCCTTGTGGGGGCGCTGGAGGGGTGGAACAGCAGAGTCCTGAGGTTGGGGCCAGGCTCATGTCAGTCATCCCTTTGGCGCTGTCCTGATTCTCTTCCTCAAGAGCAGCACCGTAATAGGTGTATGCAAAAGGCACAGAACTGGCTTCAATTTCAGGCACCACCCTAGTTGGGGGGAAAGCACAAACCTTGAGGCCTGATCTGGTCTGGAATCTTTCAAAGCTGTTCCCCTCCTTGACTTTCCTTTTTCATTACCTGTAAAAGGAGATCACAGTAATTTCCATTTTGCAGGCTTTGTTGTAGAATGAACTAGATGATTCACCTGAAGATGTAAGCATAGTAGAGCATTAATGATAATCAGGATAAATGTAATGATAGCTAACATTTCTTGAGCACTTATTGCCAGCCAAAGTTCTAATCGCTTCACCTGTATTAACTTTAATCCTCACAACAACCCTATGTGGCAAGTATTAATATCTCCAGTTCATTAAAAAAGAAAAAAGAAAAAAACAGGCAGAAAAAAATATGGGCAGAAGACCTAAGCAGACATTTCTCCAATGAAGACATACAGATGGCCAATAGCCACATGAAAAGATGCTCAGTATGGCTAATTATCAGAGAAATACAAATCAAAACTACAATGAGATATCACCTCACACCAGTCAGAATGGCCATCATTAAAAAATCCACAAACAATAAATGCTAGAGAGGGTGTGGAGAAAAGGGGCCCTCCTACACTATTGGTGGGAATGTAGTTTTGGTGCAGCCACTGTGGAAAACAGTATGAAGATTACTTTAAAAACTAAAAATAGACTTACCATGTGATCCAGCAATCACAGTCCTGGGCATATAACTGGAGGGAACTCTAGTTCGAAAAGATATATGCACCCCAATGTTCTTAGCAGCACTATTTATAATAGCCAAGATATGGAAACAACCTAAATGTCCACCAACAGATAAGTAAAGAAAATGTGGTGTATATATATATAATAGAATACTACTCAAACATAAAAATGAATGAAATAATGCCATTTTCAGCAATGTAGATGGACCTAGAGATTATCATACTAAGTGAAGTAAACCAGAGAAAGACAAATATCATATGATATCACTTATACACGGAATCTAAAAAATATGGCACAAATGAGCTTATTTACAAAACAGAAAAGGACTCACAACATAGAAAACAAACCTGTGGTTTCTGGCAGGGAAAAGGGGGGAGGGATAAATTAGGAGTTTGGGCTTTGCAGATACTAACTACTATGTATAAAATAGATAAACAAGGTCCTACTGTATATTACCGGGAACTATATTCAATATCTTGTAGTAACCTATAATGAAAAAGATATATATATATATATATATATACACACACACACATATATATATAACTGAATCACTATGCTGTATGCCAGAAACTAATGCAACATTGTAAATCAACTATACTTCAATTAAAAAAGAAGTCCCCAGTTCACAGATGAGGAAACTGAGGCCCACAGCAGTTAAGTATCTTGCCTGTGACCCCATAGCTAGTAATTAGCAGAGTTGATAAAGTTGGCTCTCCACAAACAAAATTCCTTTGGAACTGAAGTATGGAGCAACTTATCAACAGATACAATCCCTATTAGCTCATTCACTCTTGTGGCAGGGGCACCAGGCACAGAAGAATGGGCACAGCTAGGTGATGTCAGTCACAAGGCCATCCTGGAGTTGGCCTTCTGCAGGATAGGGTTTTAGTGTGTGAGCTCCAGAACAGCACCTTTAGCCACACTATTGAACCTCCCCACAGTGTTAACTGTTCTATTCCAGCCTTAATCGTCTAGATGGAACCCACAAAAACTACATCCCTTAAGTTCCTGCTCTTGCAAGAAGTTGCATTCAAAGAAAAACAGTCCAAAACAGAAAAGAGATTACAAGTAATTAAAATCTTTTGGAGGGAGGCCAGGGAATGGGAGTAGCTTTTTATTATTCAGTTTAAGAACTCCATCTAGTAAGCAAATTTTAACATTATCCAGAGCACAGCACTTATGGACTATGAGAAAAAAGGCTCTGTGCCATGACTTCAGAAATTACCACTGGGTCCACAATCCCTTATCTGAAACCTTTCTGGCCAGATGTGTTTTGGAATTCAAAACATAAAATCTTTATTTTAATTTTAAAAACATCTTCCTAGACATGTTGGGGCAGGGTGGGAAGTCATTCTGTCACCCCTCACACAACTGAGTTTGCCTCTTTCCCTGCTCCTCTCACCCTCAAAAGGCTGCTGCATCTCTTCCCTTACTCCAGTGGGCGCTGCCCTTGGGGTTGGGCAACCCAGCCTTGGGTCTTTTCTCATCTCCCCTTTCACCTCCTGTGTTCATCTTTTTTTTGTTGTTGTTCTTCCTCACCTTTCCTACGCGAGCCCCTCTAGTTCTTTAACTTTGCGCATTACCCCGATTCAACCTCAAAGCTACAAGGAAAGGAGAGGGGAAAGCTGTGAATATCCACCAAGAAAATCTTTTCCTGACACACATACTTAAGGAGAGAAAGCCAAGAAGCCATTGCCAGGGGGGTTGTGTGGAGCTGCTGACAGGAGGGCAGTCATGCAGAGCTCGACTGGCTTCCTGATCCTGTCGGGATCTTAGATCCTGCAGTAGTGAGCGCCCCGGGGCCAAGGGGCTTAGGACTCCTTCAGTACTTCCCCTTTTGCGCCACAGGTGTTGCAGGTCAGGGCTGCCTGTTATGAACATTACTTCACAATTTGATACAGACTCACTCTTTTAAAAATACATTTTACATTTTTTTTAATTGAAGTATAGTCAGTTTACAATGTGTCAATTTCTAGCGTAGAGCATAATGTTTCAGTCATACATATACACACATATGTTCCTTTTCATTTTCTTTTTCACTATAGGTTACTACAAGATATTGAAGATAGTCCCCTGTGCTATGCAGTATAACATTGTTGTATATCTGTTTTACATTTAGTAGTATCGGCAAATCTCAAACTCCCAATTAATCCCTCCCCATTTCCTTTCCCCCGTGGTAACCATAAGTTACCAAGGAAAGGAAAGGAGAGAAACAATCCCTTTTGAAATCACATCCAAAAAAATAAAATACTTAGGAATAAACCTGACCAAGGAGGTGAAAGACTTCTATGCTAAGAACTACAAAACACTGATTAAGGAAATTAAAGATGATTTAAAGAAATGGAAAGCTATCTCATGGTCTTGGATTAGAAGAATGAGTGTTAAAACGGCCATACTACCTAAAGCAATCGACAGATTTAATGCGATCCCTATCAAATTACCCAGGAAATTTTTCACAGAACTAGAACAAATAATCCTAAAATTTATGTGGAATCACAAAAGATCCAGAATTGCCGGAGCAATATATTGTTTTATTAAAACCCCTTCAGTGGCTTCCTATTCTTCATTCACTTCAGAGGGTCTAGGAATCCCCCAAATTAAGTGGAGAAAGTTGTGAGTACTGCACTTTCCTGGGGGGAGGGGGTGCCATAGCTTACATCAGAGTCTCCAGGGAGCCCGTGACCTTGAAAGACCAGCAGAGGACTCTCCAGTGACTGCTCAGACCTCAGATCACCCTTCCCTCCCCATGAAGCTCTGGTAAGATGTGTGTACACCATGTCCCACACCACTGTCCCTGACTCACCCTGCTTCCTCAGGAGCCATCCATCCTTCTTCTCAGGCTTCACACCTGGGATTGTGAGGCTGACCTTGACCATTCTTCACGCCCTTCCTAGCTCAGCCTCTTCTCCCCAGGAAAGTCTTCCTGGGGCTCACTCTGGGCTTCTGCCTTTCCAAGCTCTTGCTGAATTATATTGAAATGATCCATCATCAGATCTGTCTCTCCCACTCGACTTTGCTCGACTCCTTCACGGCAGTGGCCACGACTCAGGAATAAATGTATCCACGCAGCCTAGCTCAGCTCAAGGCGTGCAAAATACATGTTTGCTGGACTGGAATTGATACCAAACGTATTATACCCTGAGCCAGGCTTCAAGGAGCTTTAATTAACGCTGAAAAAGAAATAATATAACTGTAATGTTTTAATTTTTATAAGGATAAATTCATGTATCATTTCTGTCATGGAAGATGACTTTGAAATAAATTTAAAATAATTATGCACAATGGTACATATGGAAGATGTCCCTAAGTGAATCATAGGTTTCTCCCTCCAACTCAAAAGTAGTCTTGTGTTCTCTTTTTCTGGTGCATACTAGGATTTACTGGAGAGTTTGGGTATCAGGGCCATGCAAATTATCTTACTTACTCAGGGCAATGTATCTGAATGCAAGTTTCGCTCATTAATGCTATCCTTTTGCCTGCTCTTTGTCAAGCCGAGGGCCCTGTGGTGACCACCCAATATGACTGTTTTGGCTGCGAACACCCCATATCAACCACGAACCCTGAGTTGGAACCCATTCTGAAACACGCCATTCAACATTTTAACAACAATACTGATCATTCGCACCTCTTTGATCTTGGAGAAGTAAAAAGCGCCTGGAGACAGGTTTGTTCTTTAATTTTTCATTTCTAATTGTAATGTTAAAATTGGTTAGATCTTTTTGGTTTAGGGTTTCATTACCTAAAATAAACCATTGGCTGGAAAAAAATGTATGATTCCATGGCAAGTGGGAGGGAATTCTTCCATGTTCTCAAACGACTAGCTCTGGAGGCAAAGACTTTCTCTTTAGGCAAAGTGATTCGAATACTGTGATCTGTTAAGGCGGAAAGGGAGACTAACCAGACCCCCTCCTTTGAGATTTGTTTTTAGTGAACGAGTGGTCAGAATTCCATGTTCTTCCTAGAGATGGTAGAATGGAAAAGTTATTCTGGCCTTAGGGTTTTAAGAAGACTATCATCTCCTAGCTATCATGAGGCAAACATTGCCCCAAATATTAAATTGTACCTACAAAGGATGGCACGGCTTGCTAGGTACCCTCTAAATTATAGTTTCTGTATCATCAGAGAAAAAAGTAAATACTTGTAAATCTGGTCTTCTTATTGCCTCAGTTCATGAAGCCTTTACTGACAGTTGGCTGGACCCTTTGGATTTCAACATCTAATTATGAGTGGCCCCCTTAGGTCTGTTGCATTCCCTGCTTTTAACTGGACTTCCAACTTGCCTTCATGAAAGATCATGTTCTACTCAGTTCTGTCCATACCCAGCTATCAGGGTGGGACCCTCCCCAGATAAAGTAGGAGAAATCTTACTGCCTGGCAGTCTGGGAACCTACTGGTAAAGGCCACTCTAGCTTCAAAGTTTTCTTTATCCACCTAGAAAAGCATTATTAATATTTCACAAAATTCAACAGATCATTTCTTTCCTGCTACCTGGCAGAGGAAATATTGCTAGGTCTTACTTAAGGAGACAGAGTAACTCTATCTTATAAATTGCTTTTTATTTTCAGATGTGTAGCAATGTGTGTGTAAATGTGTGTTTGTGTATGTGCTGTGTTGAAGGGTGTGGGAGTCATAATGTGCTCAACATTTATTCAGTAATGACTTTTGCCTAGTAATAATCATAGTGAGCACTTATGAAATGCCAGGCAGTATTCTAAGCTCCTCCTAACACTGTACATAATGTTTAAACTGCCCTTTTGGGATTCAATCCCAAATCGTTTCAGGTGGTAGCTGGATGGAACTATGAAATTACTTACTCAATTGTGCAAACTAATTGTTCCAAGGAGAATTTTCTGTTCTTAACTCCAGACTGCAAGTCCCTTTCCAATGCTGTAAGTAGGCAAAAATCTAATTATAAAGTTCTTAGCTTTTCGTGCCCAGTATTCCCAAGTGTGGGAACTCTCAGCTGTGGTGGAAGACTCGGTCACTAAAATTGGGGATGACAGTCACCAGTTCATATTTTGGCCATCTGAAGTTCACATCACTGGTCAAGGTGCTTACCCACCTAGTGGGAGAATCAGCACATCTGGCAATAAGCATTTACAGATCTAACCAGGGACTAGGAATAGCCTGAGACAAAATGATGCCACAGTCAAGTTTGTCTTTTCATGTCTTCACATTTTCCTACCTCCTTTCCCCCACCCATGTGCTCAACGTCCTTATGGGGTTCCCTAGCTCTTCCTGGGACTGTCCCTCACTTCCAACTTGTCTCTGCTGGTTTTCTCGCCTTCCCTTCCCTACCTTTAATAAACACATCCGGATTCTCTCTCTTACTTATATGAACCAAAATTACTTTAAAAGAGAGCGTCTCCGGGTGGCAGGAGTTATCATGTTGAGATGGCTAAGGCATATTGATCCTCCCAGGCATATGTGTGTTTTAGCAGAAGGCTGCGCTTCAGCAAGAAGTGGCTGCCAGCCCTTTAATCTAGTCATTCTACTTCTTGAATTCTATTATATGGGAAGAAAATGAGAAATTCAGACAACAAGATGTTAATTTTGGCATTTTATTAATAGAAATTAATCCTTATCATGTTAGTCATGTCTTCTATGATCTTATTTATTTTTTATCTATTTTGCCTGTTGTATAATAATTGTATACCAGACTTTCCCACCACAATTATTTATGTCCATTTCTATTCATATGTTTTCTGCTTTATGCATTTTGATTCCATGCTTCTAGATAAAAATAAAATTATCTTTCTTCTACCTTTATGAGTTTTTTGTTACCTTGAATTTTACTTTGTCCAATATCAATAATATTCTAGCTCCATTTTTGTTCATATTTGTTTCATATAGCTTTGCTCATCTGTTATGTGTAATCTTTCTTTATCTTTTTTATTATACACTGTTATTCTTGAAGACATAATACTTTGATTTTTCCTTAACTTAATCTGAAACTCTTTGCCTTGCTAAAAGAAAATGTTACCCATTCACTTCTATGATTTTTATTTCTGCACTACATATTCTTGGCATCTCATTTCATGTCTGTGTGCTTGTGTGTGTATTTGTTGTTGTTGATGCTACTCGCTTGTTTCTTATTCTCTCTTTTGCAATTAGATTATGCATTGTATTGGTTTGTTCTATGTGATGATTTGCAAAGCCAACATCTTATTTTTAATTTTACTAGTTGTTTACTTTAAAGGTTCTTTAAAAATGTTCCTAATATATACTCTTACATGCTTTTTAAAAACCAGGATATTGGTGAATGTACAGATAAAGCACATGTGGATCCTCAGCTAAGAATTGCTTCCTTGTCACAGGAATGTAACCTTTATCCAGGTATGGGATAACTCACGTTAGTTCTCCGATAGTGCGTGTGGGTCCCAGACAACTGGCTAGGTCTTTCCACAGAAACAGCGCTTTGGTTCTCATGATGTGCCATGAAGTCTATATGACCCCAGACCTTACGAAGAACACTGTCCCCCATCTCTGCCCCCTGTGCTACAGCAGGTGCAGCTGAGGCTGCTCTGCAAGTGCCCAGAAGGGAATATGGTGACAGAAGGGAGAATTTCTATTTTCTGGGCAAAGTTGGTCTTCAGTATGTTAGCTTGTATTCAAGGTGTGTCTGCATCAGGTATTATAAATTAGGGAAGCAGTATCTCATTTTTAACTACTGACAATAAAATCCTTTCAATTAAAGATTATTTTTCTTGCATGTTCTAATGGGGCAGGGGGTGGGGGAGGAATGCAAGCTTAAGGTCCAGTCAGTATTTGTTATACCAAGAGTTGGCTTTTCTCATACTTGGAATACTTGGAAGATAGTTGTCTACATTGCATGATATGAAGCATCACTGAAGCTGCCTGCTCAACAGAATCTCAGGATTTAATATTTCCCCACTAGAAAATCATTCCTTTATGTTAAGCATTGCTTTTTACAGTTTCCATCAAAAATATAAAAACTTAGGAAAGGTGTGGCTTATTGATCGAGGCACTAACACTTTCTAATTTAAAGTTTCCCTAGACACATTTTAGGGAAACTTTCAATCAGAGGAAAGTTTGGAGAGGAAAAGAGGAGAGACAGTAAAAGCCTGACAGACAACCTTCACCTGCTTACTGCTGGGCCTTGGGCTGCCACGTGGCCCTCTACAAATGGATGCTGGGAAAGGTACTAGGCTAGACGACTCCTTCAGTGCACAAGCTGATGTAAACCTGCCTCTTTCAGGGGAGGATTTTGTACAACCACCTGGCAAGATTTGCGCTGGCTGCCCCACAGTTATACCTGTCGACAGCCCAGAGCTGGAGGAGGCTCTGAATCATTCTATTGCAAAGCTTAATGCAGAGAATAATGGAAATTTCTATTTCAAGATTGACTTCGTGGTAAAAGCAACAGCACAGGTCTGTAAATCATACTACAAAAATAGTGATATTATAGTCTATGGCAAATTGCTTACAAGTTTGGCCACTGATCTTGGCTCTGAATTGGGAAACAGTGTACCTGGTAAACGGGATCTGGTAGATTTGAATTTCAAGTCCCAACATCAGTGCACTTCTGGTGTGTGATCTCGGACAAGTCTTTTAAAGCATTGTTTCCATTTTCCATCTGTAAAGGATTACAGGGAGGATCACATAAGACAATGTATGACAATCACTTTTCAAACTCCAAAGTGCTATATAAATATGAGCAACTATTATCTAATTAATAAAATTCAGGGCTAGGAAAAGCAAGACTTATCCTCTGCCTTTCTAGACTCATCGCTCATTGTAGCGTCACTTAGTGTGTTGGTCTGAGCCACATCAGCCAATTATCACCCAGACCCTCTTACAGACTCATCTTCATGTCATTTGTTCCCTGCCTGGGATGCCATTCCCTCCGACAAATGTACCCTCTGAGGGTTCGTCTCTCTTTCCATACCTGTCAACAGAGGATAAGGAGTATCTGGTCTGGAGATCAGGAGACCCAGCTCTGCTACAGCCTCAGCCACTTGTATCCTGGGTGACCCTGGGCAGTCATTCAGATTCACTTAGCCTTTGTGGCCCCATCTGTAAAGCAAGTGGCTGGGTTAGAACAGCCCAAATCCCTTCCAACTCCAACCACATATGACCGACGTATTCATGGACACATTCTTATTACAGGACCTCAAAACCGGCTTCCGCAAATACAAGCTAAAGAAAAGTAATCAAAAGGAACCAAACTATTACAGCAAACCAACATGATCTTTGTGATCTATGAAAAAAATCTCATTTGAAAAAGTTCATAGTTTGGGCTCAGTAATTGAATTTCTAGAAATTAAAATAGAAGGAGTCTTTAAACAGAATTATATTCATTGCCACTTTAACTATAGAAGCAAAAAAAAAATGATCAGCTGTCCAAATGATCAATAATATAAAAATGATCACATAATGCCTGGCATATCCATACAATGGACTACTAAGGCAGCAATTTTCAAGTATCTTTGTGAGGAGTTCTTTTTAATTCTTTTGTTTTTGTTTTTTAATGGAGGCACTGGGGATTTGCGTCAGTCTAAGACTTTTGATGCAAACTGACGAATCACCAAATTATTTGCAATTATTCCAATTTACATTCACACTGCCTAGGTATAAGACACTGGGTGATGGGCTTGGTCTGAACTATATTCCTACCAGCAGTGATTTTTCCCACATCTGGCCAGCACGAGGGGCTATCACTATTTTTCATCTTTGCCAGTGTGCAGGGTTAAAAATCATGTTGCATTGTTTTTTTGATGCATGCATATCCTTAATTATTAATGAAAGTAAACTCTTTTTCAGGATTAATGACCATTTTAACTTCTCTGCAAGATCTGTTTATGTCCTTTGTCCTTTTATTTTTAGTGTCAGGCTTGATACGTATAAGAATATTGACCCTACCTCATATTTTTCCCAGTTTGCCTTCTTACTTTGGTTACTGTGGTTTTCGACAATCAGTTTTCCTTTTTTTCTAGTCAAATTTAGACATTTTCCCCTTCCTTTAGGTTTATTTCCTGTGCTTTTCGCCTAAGAAAGATTATCATCCTGAAAGTCAATTAATATTATTTCTATCTTTCTGTTTTATTTCTATAATTTAAATGTTTTAACACATTTGGAAATTGTATTGCTACATAGTATTCTCCACTTTAAAAACAAAACTTGGGCAGGATGGATTTAAACAGGGAAGATTTCTGATGAGAATGATACGTGATAAGAATGGCAATAGGGGTGTGATTTTGAGGCCCCCAAACAGAAGATGGTATTAGGTCTGCTTTATTCCTCCCCTCTGGACCCCAAAGAGAATTGCGTCAACAGCTATGGTTTGCAATATATTGTCAGCTTTCTTAGGCAACATCACATTGATCAACAGGAACGTCAAAAACAACTGAATTAAGGTATTCTCTGAAAGTAGCAAGAAAATTCATTATCACCAAAGTATAGACCCTAAAACCCTTTCAGAACTTTCTTGCCCAACTTATACACATCTGGAGTTTAAAAAGTTTATTATCAAATTTATCTTAAAAATTTAATTGTGTTTACCCTGCAAAACAATGCCAGGGAAGGCAGAGGAGGAGTTTAGTTCTTATGACTGTTTTCTCTCCCTCGTCCTCCTCCCACCACACTTTCTTCATGTTTAAAAAATAAATAAATATAAATATATATATATATAAACATGAAAAAAGGGGGAGGGCATAGCTCAAGTGGTGGAGCACAGGCTTAGCATGCACAAAGTCCTGGGTTCAATTCCCAGTATCTTCTCTAAAATAAATAAATAAATAAACAAACAAATAAATAAATAAATAACCTAATTACCCCCCCCAAAAAAAGTAAAATTAAAAAAAACAAAAAGAAAAAAAATCATGAAGAGATAAGGAAGACTGTTGCAGTTTGCTTTTACAAAAATGGGATTATACTATCACCCTGGAACTTCATGTTTTCAGTAATGGTCAACCCTCTAGGTCAACAGATATGCGTAATACATTCTTTTTGATAGCTACATAGTATTACACACACACACACAGTGTTAGTCTGCTCTGGTGATCATAACGAAATATAGACTGGATGACTTAAACAATAGGAGTTTATTCTCACAGTTCTGCAGGCTGGGAAGTCCAAAAACCCTGGTGTTGCCCTGGTGAGGGCTCTCTTCTTGGCTTGCAGATGGCTGCCTTCTCACTGAGTCTTTACATTTCAGAGAAAGAGAGACCTCTAGTCTCTGTTTCTCTTCTTGTAAGTGTACTAATCCCATCAGGGGGCCCCATCCTCATAACCTCATCTAAACCTAATTGCCTCTCAAAGGCCCCACCTCCTAGTACCAGCACCTTGGAGGTTAGGGCTTCAACATATGCATTTGGGGAGGATATATTCAGTTCATAACACACACACACACACACACTTAAATCCTAGAATGAAATACTAAATAACTTAGCCTGGAAATTGGGCCATATTTGTACATGTAATTTAAAAGCATTTTTATGAAGTATACTGTTCAAGTGTGTAAGAAATATGACTTTTAAAAAACTATGCTCGGGATTTTGTTGAAGTCAGTGTTTTTGAAAAAAACACAATGACTTACTTTTTAAGTAGATAAAGTGTGCCTCTTCTGGATAAAAAAAAATTGGAGCACAAAATTCTAATGGAAGATAGCATTGCATGATGATTAAAACTGTTGCTAGAAATTAAAATAGTTTCTTAATATAAAAAGCTAGCAGAAGCAAGCTAAAAAATCCAAATAATTTTCCTCATCACATAATTTGATCCACAATTTCTACAGTGGCACTAACTCAGTATTTCTCCATTCAAGCTTTGGCAGGACAAAGTGTGTTTCAAGAAATTGTCTAGGGGGGTATAGTTCAGTGGTAGAGTGCGTGTTTAGCATGCACGAGGTCCTGGTTTCAATCCCCAGTACCTCCATTAAATAAATAAACAAACAAAAAAACAAAAAAACAAACAAACAAACCTAATTTCCTCTCCTGGTGCCCCCAAAAAACAAACAAGCAAAAGGTAAAATAAATTGTCTAAGTTTTTCTTCAAGCTCTTCATAATTCTATTATGACTTGAGCCCTTGAGTTGCTAGTGAATTTTGCAGCTGCTAAACAATAAAACTCAAGAAAAAGATAAAAATGAAAATCATAGCATGCTTTTCTTTTCCCATTTAGAAAAGGAAATGAGACCAACCAATAGCCAAATATTTAAGACATGCATACAGACTGAAAGTTTTCTTGTCAAACATTTGTGCTTTTGGGGTATAACCCTCATTTGGTCAGCATGTAATTAAAATTTCAATATTGTCCCCTAGAAGCCCTTAGGGTAAAATATATGATTTGTTATACAATTTTAAATAAGCTCTGACTTTGTGCTAATTAATTTTCCAGGTGGTGTCCGGAATGAAATATTCTATTGTGTTCAGAGCCAAAGAAACCACATGTTCCAAGGAAAGTAATGAAGAGTTGACCGAAAGTTGTGAGATCAATAAACATGGCGTGAGTAGTAATGCAACTGTAACTGCCTGGAAAGATACCTGATGTTTTGGACGTGTCTGTGGATCTCATGAATAACACAGTTCTCTCTTTTGGCTTCTGTTTTCATGGATAGCAAACTCTAAAATGTAAATCTGACGTTCATGTGGTACCTTGGGAGAAAAAAATTTCCCCTACTGTCAACTGTGTATCACTTGCAAAGGTATGATTCTAATTACCTTCTAATTGCTCATTCTAAAAAAGCCATATTTGGGGATAGAAAAGGTCCTATTACTTAAATGAGTTGGGGACTGTCTTTTTAAAATGAGAAGGCTAACATTTCTGTGCTGATCTCTCTTTTTTATGGTAGAAAGGAGAGCAGCAGTCCTCTTTATCACTTCTCGCACATTGTCAGTGTCCCATGAGTCAGTAGGCTCTCTCTTAGTGAAATGCAGTTCCTGCTAAAGAGTAACACTAGCTGTGCACCTCAACGTGTGCCCGAGGTGCTCTGCTTATATCCAAGGCGCTTGGGAGAAATGCAGGTCTCAGATCCCACTCCTTATCTCCTGATCAAAAGGTGCATTTTAACCCAATCCCCAGGGGATTCATACCTACATTCAAGTTTAAGAAGCATTAGTTTGCATTGTTTTTCCCTTTAATTCTTAAAAGAAATCTGGGAGGTAAATAATGCTTTTCCCATTGTCACGGTGGCGACACTAAAAATTACAAAGATGCTAAGGTCCCAGAGTGAATAATGACTGTATCAAGTGCTTCTGCCATCCCAGGCACTGTACTGAGGACTTCATACATATTCTCCTCCTGATAACTCCTCCTGAGGCGGGTGCTGTTATTCCCATTTAACAGATGAGGAAAGTGAAGCTAGTGGTGCTCAGATTCAGATCTAAGTCAAGTCAGAGCCCACTCTGTTCACCATGATGTTGATAACTAGTAGGGTCTGGCTTGTCTGACTTCAAAGACCATGCTCTTTTCATCACCAAACACTGCCTCCAACCACCATGTTCCCGCAGGTAGTGAAAATGTATACAGAAAATCATCCATAGATCCCTTTCTTTGATGCAGGTTGCCTCTGCTCCCTTTGTTCTGATTTAGGCTTTTGCCATGTGTAGGAATGTATATAGCCTAACACAAACGTTATACAAAGGCTGTGTTTCAAGCTTGGGAACATATTCTAATGTGTCCTAGCTCAACAGAGTGATTGTGGATATATGTATGCTCCCTATATATTCTGTTTATAAAGCCAGTTAGTTTTTGGACAAAAGCAGTAATTGTGCTAGTAGAAATAGTATCCATTAATAAATAATGTGCTATGGTTTTATGTAATCATAGGCTTAGAAGATACTCTAGAGGTTATGTAGTTCAACCATCCAATTTTTCCCAGATAAAGAAAAATTCTCCAGTTTATCATATTATGAAGAACAATAATCAATATCCCCAAATTATAAAATCAATCAAAAGAGGAAAAATATTCATTCTCATCCTTTCTGAACTATTAATGTAGTATTTAAAATCTGGCAAAGACATGCCCCACTGTAAACTGAGATAGCATTGCCAGGTCCCCTTCCTTTCTTCATTGACAGTGTGACTTTCACAGTAATGTGTTCATCTAATATTTCCTGTTTAGACCTCAGTGATGAAAAGGCCTCCAGGTTTTTCGCCTTTTCGATCAGTAGGAGTGAATAAAACCGGAGAAGGAATAACTGTAAGTCCACCCCAAACTTCCATGGCACCTGTACAAGATGAAGAGTGGGATTCAGGGAAAGAACAAAGACCCACGCTTGGGCATGGCGGGGGCCATGAAAAGCGAATAAAACATGGCCTTGGCCATGGCCATAAACATGAGCATGACCAAGGCCCTGAGCACCTAAAGGGTCATGGCCTTGGCCATGGACACCAAAGGGGACATGGCCCAGCCCATGGACACCAAAGGGGACATGGCCCAGCCCATGGACATCCAAGGGGACATGGCCCAGCCCATGGACAACCAAGGGGACATGGCCCAGCCCATGGACATAAACACGGGCATGGTCATGGAAAACATAAAAATAAAGGAAAGAACAATGGAAAACACAATGGTTGGAGACCAGAGCATCTGGCAAGTTTTTATGAAGATAGTACTACCTCTTCTCCACAGACACAAGAGAAGACTGAAGGGCCACCCCTTCCTTCCTTAGCCCAGCCAGGTGTAGCCATTACCCTTCCTGACTTTCAGGACTCAGATCTCATTGCAACTGTGATGCCTAATACACCACCACCTCCCACAGCAACTGATGACGATGATTGGATCCCTGAAATACAGATAGAGCCAAATAGTCTTTCATTTGAACTCATTTCGGATTTTCCAGAAACAACCTCCCCCAAATGTCCTGGACGCCCCTGGAAGCCAGTTAATGGAGTGAATCCAACTGTGGAGATGAAAGAATTTCATGATTTCAGTCTCTCTGATGCTGTTTATTAATTTACCCAGTCATGGGTATTTCTTTAACATTGCATCCTGCCCTTTTTCCATTGTCCAAATATCCTGATATAATGCAACAAAAACCATGAACGTTCAGGACAGCCTAGAGAGAAATGGTGAGACTCCTGATGGGGACACCGTCAATCTCTAGGGAAGACATAAAACTGCAGAATTCGAAATCCTTTCTGAGTCTTCCCCACAAGTTGTCTTAACTAGCACAGAAAACGGTCAGACTAACGTGACCTACTGCACGGCCTACTGCAGTTTGCTTTTCTGATAATGAATGTGTACCTTAAAACGAACGTCATCCATTTTCATAGAAAGATTCTTGACATTCTGAATAAAGTGTGGCATCTGGTCCTGGAACACATGTGAAAATAAACGAAGTCAAGAGAATGAATGCTGAACTTCTTAATGGGGAAAAAATAATAATTAAAACCTCCAGAGGTCACAGAGAGACGACAAATGAGAAAGACAGATTCGCCAAAAGGAGGGCAGGGGAAGAACATTCATTGGCTTTCTGTTTCCAAAATGGGCTAATTATGGCAAACAGTTACTCCCACTTGACAAAGTTATTCTGATAATTCCCTTTCTGGGTGAGAGGGTTTCTCAAAAGTCAGTGATTTCTGTTTACTCACTAACTACACTTTGCAACAGGGCTTTCAAATAGGAGCTTTCTGTTTATTTGTTGCCAAGGCTCCACTGAGTAATCCTTAGTTTTTAGCAGCTCTGAGTTTAATGATAAGGATGGAGAGCAGAGGAAGTAATAGAAAGGCAGGCGGGCTGAAGGGAATCTTTTTTTGTAATTGATAAGGAAATATCATGAGATGTGATGCAAATTTTGCGCAGAAATTTTCAAAAATTCCTCTCTGGCCTCACTTTTTAATCACATTATTATTGGTGTTGTTTTTTGCTACAACACTGAAGAATACTGACTTTTGCAAAAGATCATCTTTCATTGCCTTCCAATGTGAGGGGAGCATCTACTGTATAACCCTTGCTGCGCTTTTGCCTGGGGAACAAGACAGGGCTTTAGACAGCTACACGCACCTGTAGATGCATGTGTCACTGCTGCTTCAATTTATTGGATGCATTTGAGCCTCTGAGTTTTCCTTTCTTTTCAAATATTATCTGTACTTTCAAATAAAGAACCAGTGATGTCAGGAAGAAGTCTCATCTTGTCAACCGGTTGCTTCACTCTCCTCTGTTTGAGTGAGAACATCCGATTAACGGAGTTTTACTATACTTACAGAGGCACCTCAGGTCCTGCAAGTACAAGGGCCGACCATGGGAGGCAGGGGCAGAGCCAGCACCTGAGAGTGAGGTCGATTGACCAGGGGCAGAATCTCCACGCCTGGCACAATAGCCCCAGCAACCTCTGTCAGCAGCCCCGCATGGAAGGACAAGAAGATGGGAGAGAGGTTAAATAGAGAAGAACGCCATTTCATCACTCTGGCTGGGCGAAATAAAGTTCCGTTTTGATGTTCTCCCTCCTGGTTTACTCACAGTGGTCGCTTTTGAGTCACACTCAACCTGCAGCAAAATCCAGTTGATCAGAGAGCCAGTGCTCAGGCTCTGAGGCTCCTGCCAGCCGAGGCAGGGTCGCTTACGTGGGGCTTCCGTACCACAGAGACCACATCGCGGATGCTCAATCAAGGGTTAGTGGGTCATGTTTCTACCACCAATCTCTCTTTCTCCCTTCCCTCCTTTCTCCTTCTCCTGATTCCCAGCACAAAGCTGAGATTAATTTGTCTCGTTTTATTATCATTTTTTATCCATTGATCCAGACAATTACTGAAAAAGAAAAAAAATCTTTTGTTAATATGTCTACCAACTTCTCATTAGCAGAAAATAAATAGTCTTAAAAAATTTTAAAGAAAATTTAAAATTATCTTTCTGATCCAGGTAAAGGAGCAAATAGAAAACCAGTAGAAGGAAAAAAAAAAAGAGATTTAGATTGTTTTCTGTCATAAAGCACAGGTATTAAATGCTCCTTTTGGTGTGTAACTTCATTCTCACAACTACTCTGAGGCCCCCGTGGTCACCTTTCTTTTACAACAAGGAAACTGGCTCACAGAGCCCAACCCAGGGTCACAAAGTTAATATGTGACCAAGCTGGCATTCACATTCAGACCTTTTGAACTCTGTTACCCCATGTTATCACAAGGCTTTATTATCAGTGTTGTCATTATACACACACACACAAAACACGTCAAGATGATTTCTGATTCTGGAATGATTATTATCTCTATCCAAAACCCTTATGAAATAGTTCCCTGTGGCTGGGGCTGTTCTGAACACTGATCAGGATAAACTATAATGAAGTCAAGTGGCACGCATTGACTATTTACCATAGTCAGTCCTGAGAAAAAGAGAAATTTTATTTTAATCCTTTTTAATACTGAGTTTTTATTTAAAACACCCCACTCCATTGCACTGTTTAAATTGAAGAGAAACTCAGTGAAGAGAAATCTGCAATCATTTTAAAGAATTACAAAGTAAGACAAAGATACCATCAATAAGATGACAGAAATTGATGTAAGCATCCTTTTTTGTCAGCCTTAGTTTCAATGCCAGCTGGCTGATCACATTTTGGGCCCAGGTGCTCAGAGCACACGTGTGGTGGCCAGGTGCTTTGACTCATCTCTCGTCCACTCATGGTCACGTATTCAGCCTGTGGGAACCTCAAGGCAAATGAGGGGAAATCAGTTTTAAGAGATATAAATGCTTTCCCTCGAACAGCTTACAATCACATCGGGAAGCCAAGACTAAAGCGTTTGAAACCAACATTTGATCCAAGCCATGATCATATGTGGAGCAGTGAACCTGACTAACGAGACAGGATGATGTTGAAGAGGCAGAAGGACCAACCTGGAAAGATAAAATAAAGCCTAAGTGGGAGTTTTTATTTTATTTTTTATTTTACTGAAGCATAGTCAATTTACAATACATTAATTTCTGGTGTATAGTACAGTGATTCAGTTTTTATATATGTGTGTGTGTGTATATATATATATATATATATATATATATTCCATGTCATATTCTTTTTTCATTATAGGCTATTACAAGGTATTGAACATAGTTCCCTGTGCTCTGCAGTAGGACCTTGTTGTTTATCCCAAGCGGGAGTTTTGATCAAAGTGGGCAGTAGTAGAGCACCTTTTACATTTCTTGAGCTAAAACGTGCTAAAAGAGTTATAGACCTATTATTCTGAAGATCCTGGAGCACTGATCAGAGTGACATGAGACTGGACTGAAGGCAGTGTGCCAGGTGTCTCCAGATCATCCACATTTTAACAGAAGAATGAGCTCTCAGAGCTGGTATAGAAAATCTACAGTTCTTACTTTACTCAACACCTGGAAGTATCTCCACCCCAGACCTTTGTCAGATATATTTTATCATGAGTCTCCTGTGACCCAGCCTCTACCTTTCACTCTCCTGAGATATCTGCACCCTCCTCCCACTCCCGAACCAAAGGCACACTCACGTTCATGACCTTGGCTCTGGAACCACACAGCCTCATCCATCTGTGCTTCTCTTCAGTGCAGGAATTTCCTCTTGTCCAACCTAACCCACTTCCCTCACCTTGTCTAGGCCTAGCACCTCAAGAAGATGACCTAATTGGCTTTTTACCCCATCTTCCACTTCATGCTTCTAAGCCTGGTTCTGAAAAACAACACTTCTTGGCTTCATCCAGTCTGTCCTGTGCTCAAGCTCCACCCTCTCTGCCAGTGCTCTGTGCTCTACCTCGGGCAAGGGGTCAGGCCGCTCCAGGGCTCCTATCAGAAGACTTGAGAGGATCCAGTGGATATGATAACAATCTAGCCTTCCACAAGTCCCCGTGTCTCCCTCTACAATGTGAGATGATCAGAAAGCAAAATACTATTTCAACACCTTGCAAAAATGCTTTTGTTGAATTATTTACCATCAGCCTTTATTGTACAAGAATCTCCAGTCTTCTGTGAAGCTTGCATTGGAGGTAATGCTCAGCATTCTCACGTGATAGGGAGTAGAGCCAAGTGGTTAAGAATCAGGGTTCTGCCAGAAAGAGAAAGAAAAATGCCATATGATACCACTTATATGTGAAATCTAAAAAAAAAAAAGACAAATGAACTTATTTACAGAACAGAAACAGACTCACAGACATAGAAAACAAACATGGTTACCAAGAGAGGAAGTGGGTAGGAAGGGATAAACTGGAAGTTCCAGATTTGCAGATACTAATGCGTATAAAATAGATAAACAAGTTCACACTGTATAGCACAGGGAACTATATTCAATACGTTGTAGTAACTTACGGTGAAAAAGAATATGAAAATGAATATATGTAAGTTCATGTATGACAGAAGCATCATGCTGTACATCAGAAAATGATACAACATTGCAAACTGACTATACTTCAATAAAAAAATATATATACAAAAATAAATAAAATAAAATAAAATTTTAAGCAGGCAAAAAAAAAGGAATCAGGGTTCTGCATTTAGACAGCCTGAGTCCAAAAGCTGGCAATTTATCTAACTTCTCAAGACCCCAGTGTCCTTATCCAAGATACTAGGTTAGTGATATACTCACATCAGAGGTGTGTTGTGAGACTTCAGAATGTTAAGTCCTTTAATCAGCATGATGCTTGGCACACGGCAAGCACCCGGTAAAGCGTAGCTATTCTTGCATTACTAAGAGATACGCAACATGTTACTTTTAGAGTTTAACTCTGCAGGGGGGAAATGTGTCGTCAGACAATGGAATGTGTTTAACACAGCATATATTCCTTTTCGCCTTTGCAGCCATACTCAGAACTCGAATGTTGTCATCGGCTCATGTCAAGTGGCCGGTAATAGCTGCTCCCTCACTTCTGATTCCACAGTTTCTCAAGCTTGGCTGCGCAGTGGAATCACCTAGGGAGCTCTAGGCCACGTGAATCCAAATCTCTGGGAACAGTCCTCAGTGTCACTATTTTTCGAAAGTTCTCCATTGATTCCAATACATCCTAGGGTGAGAACAACTGATTTAGGCCCTCTCTGTTCTCTTTTTGCTCTTTATCTGGTTTCACATGGTTCTATTGTATTAACTCTTCCAAATATTTTTGAAAATAGGAGAGTTATGAAACTCACAAGGGATAGGTGAATAAATGGATGGATGGGTGGATGGACATGCGGATGACTATAAGTATTATATTCATTAGGATTGTCGCAGTAAGAGTGGAGAGGGCAAGATGTGTATGAATGGCATTTCAAAGACATGGGAACAAATTACTTACTGAGTATGAAGAATGAAAAACAGGAATAAATCAAAGATGACAAAAAGTTTTCCAGTCTAGGGACCTAAGGGAATGGTGATGCCATTAACACAAACAAGGAAATGGGGAGCTGGTATGTGCTTTCTAGTAACTCACTTAAAAAAACTGACCTCAAATATACATAATTTAAATTATCTCAGTAACTGAATATGCATATGAAATCAATACACAGATGGAGTATAAACACTACTCCATCCCACCTCAAATCAGTTTATTTACCCTGGTATCTGTGGCACTGGCCACGCAAACAGGGGAGTATCATTAGATACTCATGGACTAAGCTGGTGGGAAACCTGTGGAAATCAGCAGTTACAGGATGCCTTATGTCAAAAAGAACATAAAGGAAATAAATTATCCTCTGAAAGTAACCTTAACTTCTGTTTCTACTACTGAATGAGAAACCTGAATCCAGCAACAGTCCTTTGTTATAACAGCTCCCCTAACTTTCTTACGGAGGTGCTGGGGGTAGAAACCAGGACCTCGTGCATGCTAAGCATGCGCTCTACCACGGAGTTTTTAACCCTCCCCTAATCCTGTCTTTAATCTTTCCTATATAGCATTTGGAGATGCTACCCTATTGAGCATCTGGAAATATCACTATTCTATCGTGCCTGTTAAGAATGGGTGGAACAGTAGCTCCTGGAAAGAATATAAATACTAGTTTATAGGTAAGTAATATTTACCAGCTGGGTGACTTAGTACTGTGTCAACCTGGCCAAACAGGGCTTAATGTTTCCAAGAAGTGCCTTTGCTGTATGGCTCTAGGCTAGAGTTGTTCAGAGGAGAAACTCGTATATGATAGAGAAGATGGAAGGAAGCGGAACCACTGCTCTCGGAATTCGTGGGATAGATGCAGTGGGCCGCGAT